CTGAGGCAGACTAACGTAAGATTGATCGCCTCCTTTTCTGACACACGGATGCTGAAAAAGGGTTTGAGAGGCAAGAAGATGTCGCCGTTGCGGATCTGATGTATCTGATCCTCTCTATGATTCCATGATATTCCGTGCCGAGCCCACTGGTGAGGCCATGCGGAATACAAAGCAGCTTGTCCTCCCGTCTATGATGCAGCAGTGTTCATGATCGCAACACCTAGGACCTAGGCAGAATCCCGACCTTCCTGTCACACCTTCTCCGGAAGACAGGGGGATGAGCGCTGTCAGAGCGTGTGGTGAGCACCTGGCCCTCAGCAGGGTGTACCACCCGCACAAAACTGCGAAACTTCGGAAACAATGGTGCAAGCTCCAACTTCACGATGACATACCCTGTTCGAGATGATTCTTTCCACCAGGATGTGTTCGATTCGAGTGCACAGCACAAATACGAATGTGCGTCATCGTCACTGAGCCAAAGGAACCTCGACTGAGATACGTTCGTTACCGACCTCTCTCACGTCGCAGGCCCTGAAGCTGAATTATGAACGCAGTCATTGCCAACGTTCATTTGGTTGAAGCTCTGTTGCTATGATTCTATGATTCGCTTACTCTTCACACTCTTCCTTCGTGTCCGAAGACCCGCGCATGGACGACGTCTCCGCATCGCCAGCAATTCCATCGTTCATCAGTTGGATCATTTGCTCCATGTTCGCCTCGGAATACATGGTCGGCACCGAGGCATTGAAGCCGATCTTGGTCTCCAACTTCTGGCGCAGGTCCCTCAGATTGGCCATGGCATCTTTCAACTCCTGCACTTTCTTCACTTCCTCCAACCGGCGGGTGAAAGTGGGCACCGTGTACAGGCCGTTGAGGAGCTCTTGCTTCTTGGGATTCTTCAGGACATCCTCGGCACACGCAGCGTGCACGGCAGCGCCATAAGGAGCCATGGCTGCGGCGGCCGTGATGATGCCTGAGATGCTTGCTCCACAGAGTGCACTGACGTCCAGGAAGTCCTGGCAGTGAACCACAATGAGATTGATGAACGTCACGACCTGGCTCATGTAGGCGATCGCGCCGCCAATGTCCACCGTGCACAATGCGCTGAAAACGCCAGTGACCTCGAAAACTTAGGATGTCTCTCAATGTTACCAGCATCAGACCTTTCTGCTTTCCTTCACATGTCATGTTCAAGTGCGGAGACTAAGCCGGCGACCTTGTTGATTGGCCCCTTGAGGTTGACGCGGCCACAGAAGCCACTGTTCACAGCTGAGTTGATGGAGATACCCATGTTGGCGAGGTTGGCAACCACCATGCCGACATCAACCCCGCACTGCACGCCATTTCCGACTGGACCCTGTCCAATGAGAAGTCGTCGGCCGTCACGTACAGTCTGGTCTCCGAGCACGCTGATCTTGGTGGTGGTCAACTGCGGCGGCACCCCTGTGCAAGTGGCCGCCGCCAGGGAAGCAGTCGCTGCCAGCTCGCCCATCACGGAGACAAGGCCGGTCACGCCCACGGAGCACACAGCATCCACGTTGAGATTCAGCGCACAGTTCGTGGCCGCATACGACAGCTTGGCTGCCGCATTGGCGACCCAAGTCACCAAGATGGCGCCGTTCACCTGGCAGAGGCATGC